GCAGGCAGGCAGGCAGGCAGGCAGGCAGACAGACAGACAGACAGACAGACAGATAGATAGATAGATATGGAGGTTGTCCTACAATTGGGGACTCTCATGTGCGCCTAAACATTTATTGTTTCAGCTGTTGGACAGCTGCAAATGTTTGTTTATTTAAAACTTTGTTATGTCTCCAGGTTTGGATTATGGACAGAATCCTTTGAGTGAAGCTTGATTTCTGATCACTTCACTGGCATGGCTGTGTAGTTTTCCCAGCAAAAATATGGAAGTGGTCACCCATTTCCTTCTTTGGAGATGGCCTTCCTGTTTCCCAGTCTAGCCCACAGCCTCGCTATTCCTGGAAGAATTCCCATCCAAATCCTAACCAACCCCAACCCTGTTTGTCTTCTGAAGCCAGATGTTGCCACCTTCTGAACCCCACTGTCTAGTGATGAAAACTATGGGCAGGATTTTACAGTGTGTGCGTGTGTTTGACTTTTGTCTCTCTTTCTGTCTTGCAACAGATCAGAGCCAAGGTATCACTTCTTATCCTGGGTCATGTTCTTTTCAGTTGCTGTCATGCCTACTCTCCTCCCTGCATTCTTGGGCCTTTGCTTCTGCCAGCTGATTTCCAGTGCCCCCTCTGAAAGTGACACTGTGGTGGTCACCAGCAGTGGATCCATTAAAGGCATGCGAGTCCTAACTAGATCTGGTGCTGTAACTGCCTATCTAGGGATCCCATATGCTGAGCCTCCAGTAGGGAAACTGCGTTTCCAGAAACCTGTCCCACATCAACCATGGAGTCGTGTCTTGGAGGCGACCCACTTTGGTAAACCTTGTCACCAAAGGACCTCTTTTGGCTTTCCTTTTTCAAATATGTGGGTTGCCAGTACGCCACATTCTGAAGACTGTCTTTTCCTCAATATTTGGGTGCCTCATCCCCAGCCCTCCATGCCAGTTCCTATCCTTGTTTGGATCCATGGTGGAGGATTTATTGTTGGTGCAGCGTCTTTGGACTTATACAATGGGGCATCATTAGCTGCTACCGAGAATGTCATTGTGGCATCAATGAACTATCGGCTGGGGGTCTGGGGCTTTCTCTACTTCCCACCAGAAATCCCAGGGAATATGGGTTTATGGGACCAATATCAGGCTCTGAAGTGGTTGAAGGAGAATGCAGCTGTCTTTGGGGGTGATGCAGATAAGTTGACTCTCATTGGTCACAGTGCTGGAGCAGCCTCTGTGGGTTTCCACCTCCTGTCCCCTGTAAGCCAACCCCTTTTTGCCCGAGCTGTGCTACAGAGTGGAGCTCCCACTGCACCCTGGGCTTCGATTCAGCCTGAGAACATCAAGCAACGTGCCCTTTATTTAGCTAGAATGCTGAACTGCACTAAAGGGAATCACAGTGCCACAGTGAGCTGTCTCCAAAATAAGGAAGTTGGTATGTTTAAGAATTTCAGTTTCTTCTTACCCATCTCCGATGGGGATTTCCTTCCTGAAGATCCAAAGAGACTTCTACAGACTGGAAAAACTCCAGCAAAACCACTACTTATAGGTGTTACAGGTGACGATGGCTCAGTCTTTATACCTCAAATTCTGAATATTATAGAAGAGGACAAAATTGTGACCTGGGAGCAGATCACACCAGGTATAAGCATCATATTAAAAAGACATCTTGAAGAAGATATTCTCAGGGCTGTAGCACTTAAGTACAATGAAGAGAACCACAGGCCAGATCTGTACCATCAGATCTTGGCCCATTTAAGCAGAGATCACTATTTTGTGTGCCCGCTAACTGAAATTGCTGCAAGGATGGTAGGAACTGGGAGCTCTGTGTATGCTTACTCCTTCAACCACCACATTCCTACCTCCATTTGGCAAGCGTGGATGGGTGCAGCTCATGGAATTGAGGTCCCTTATCTCTTTGGAACGCTCTCATCACTTCCAGGATTCAATCAATCAAATGCAGAAGTTGACATGGTGCTAAGCCAACGTGTGATGCACTACTGGGCCCAGTTTGCCAGGAGTGGGTAAGACAATCTTGGGAGATGCACTTAAGCACAGCACCAGGGCATTTGTTCCATAAACCTGGGCCTCTGATAGTTGTATTAGATAGACAGTATGGGAATTAAAGTGTTGGTCTTGGATCAGGGAGACTCAGTTCAGACCAATAATGGATAAGGAGCTCGTGGGGTGACTTTGGGCCAGTCAGAAATGCTGCATGTGGCTAGCAGCTGTCTCGCAAAGGGCCAGCCACGGGATGCCTCATCAACAGTGGGAGGAAGATGGTGAAGGCCAGCTGGGAGTGGCAGGGGTGATGGAGTGCAGATCGGCAGGGGGCAGGGGTGGTGGAGCACACAGCAGCAGGGTGGCAGGGGCAGTGGAGTGCAAGGTGGCCAAAAGGGCAGAGATGTGGGGAGATAGGTGGCTGGGGGGAAGTTGAAGCATACTCTGTGGTCATAAATGCAGGTGGGCTGTCAAGCGCCTGAATTTTGATCACATGACTACAGGGACACTGCAACAGCCGTAACTTCAAGGACTGGTCATAAGTACCACTCGTTCAGTGCCATCGTAACTTCGAAGAGTCACTGAATGAATGGTCATTAAGTGAGGGCTACCTGTATATGTGGAAAGGCAGAATATAAATTAAAATGATTTAATCTTTGCAAAAAGCCCTGATGCTGAAATGACAGTTTTGTCAAAGTAAATTTTGGTCCACATCATTTCTATTTCCCAAAGGAATGAGTAGAAGATGTGCTTCTCCAGGCGCTATGATCTGCCTCATGGCTGACGTGTGCTACTGAAAATAATGATTTAGAAGCAAACAACAATAATAACACTTGAAAATGCTCAGCTCAGGAGACAATGTAAAGTTGAGATGTCAGTCATTCTATCCTTGATCTTGCCGTTCAGTCTGACTGTTTTCTGTAATATGATCATTTTATTTCCTTGACAGGAATCCCACCAAATCCACACCTGGGGAAGCTCAATGGCCACATTACAATGCCACTGAGCAGAACGTCTTCCATATCACCACTGAGGCACCTCGAATCATGCAGTTTTTGCCTCCTGAGCATTGCAGTTTTTTGGCAACCCATGTTTATAACACAACAGGTATTGGTGAGTTACTATTCCATTCCCATGTGTCAACCAAAATCCCTTCACACCATCCATTTTTTTCTTCCTAACAAACATAGTTGCCAGGGATGCCTTCAGCGTCATTTGGCCCCAAAATTGCGTATTCTAGTGTTGTGTGTGTTTTGGCATGTATCACTAGCCTTAGGCCACTGAATGGTATAAATCTGAAAGTTTTGGATGATGACTTGATTAAAACTTGAATGGCCTGAAAATGGTCAAGGCAGTTGTATCATTTTAAGTATGGTGATATTATGCTGTTGTTTTCTGCAGAACATTTGTATAAAGGAAACTCCACTGAACTCTGGTGTAGCTGTATAATTACTATGTAAATTGTGGAATCACACAGTTATACAGCGGTGGGTCCAGTAGTTTATTTTCTTTTTCCCTTTTCCAGATGTAGCCCAAGAAGAGGCCGCGTCATCGGGCCAAACAAAAGACAAGAACTGACCAGAACATAATGAAAGGAATTCTCGGGCAAGTTTACTGTGTTGGATGGAGGGTGTGTGTGTGTGTGAAAATAAAGGAAAGGAGATATATGGAGAATAACTGAAAGTGGGTGTGAATGGAGAGGATTTGCTTAAAAATCATACACAACTAAAGGAGAGATGGAGATTGCAGGTGCATAGTCTCAACCCCCACTGAGTGACAACTCCCCTCCATGCATATATGGATGTGTGAGTTAGAATCTACTTTAGACATGGGGTCACTGGGCATATCGATAACAGAATGTAATGCTTCCTTGAACTCAAGTTTGATTATTTCATGGACACATCCAGGTAGTTTTCTGTGGAGGGGACTTGCTACTGCTTTCTTCCCAGACACTTTTTCAGTCTCATATTCTGGTCTGTATCTCTGATGTTTCTTGTTGATCTTCTATCCAAGTACGAATCATATGTGATCTTGCTTAGCTTTGCAAGATCAGCTTAGGTTAGCTAGATGCTGCTACCTAGCTGGGCTAAAGGCTCCCTTAAGTGCTCAACTCTTGGTGACTTCATGGACACATTGTTTTGTTTTGTTTTTAATAACCATATAGGCAGAGTTTGTCATTGACTTCTTTCCTGATTTTTTTTTTTTAATTTCCCTATCTAGCCTACGGTCCTGGGATTCTCTGGTGATCTTCGATCCAACTTCTAACGAGGTTCAATCTTGATTAGTTTTTTTTTTTGAGAACAGCATTCTTCAAGATGTTTTGAACATGGATTTCAAAGTTTTCTGAAGAAGAGCCTCTATCTCCTTTCTTCTGGGTTTGCATAAATGCTTAATTAGAACACCGATTTAACCAGGTTTCTAGGTTTGCGTAACTCATTGAACCATACTAGAGAGTGTTACATGAAGCTTCCATTTTGACTGAAAAAGCTATTTTTGAGTTTTCTGGGGTATTAGTTGTTCTGTACAAAATAACTTCTTTTTGACAGGCAGCAATATTTAACAAACCTTTTGGGAAGATTTCTTATGTTATTGTGTTATGTAACTGTGATTGCTCTTGTGCTAAACAAGTTAGAAATCCTACCAGATTTCTAGCTCTCTCTGCTTTCAGCTGCACTTAGAAAACATGGGCTGTCTGGGAAATGTTTGTTAGAGTTTGGGGAGCAGATAGGAAGTTGGGTTTTATGCCTGTGGGAAGAAAGAAAACTTGAGTGATAGTGAGAAAAAGATACCCAGGTCCTCTTATGTGGACTGCTTGTAAACACATAAGTTTACATAGTGATGACAAACACTAGTGAGCAGAGAAGTGAGAAAAAAAGAACAGCATCAAAGCAGAAGTGTATGGCTGAGTGTGCCTCTGAGACTAGTGCATTCAAATGTTGTCTTTTTCCTTTAGTCCCTTGCAGAACCTATTCAAGCATCCTAGTTTGAAAAAAAAAATGTTTTATATCCTGCTGTATTCTAATAGATTCTGTACCACTCTTTACCACCATTGCTGAAATAGCTCAGTAACATTATTTTCTTGGGATAGACAAGGCTGCTGGTTTACTGTTTTGTTCTTGTTTTTAAATAAGTCCAGGGATCTACCATTTCATCAGTTACCTGAGGTAGAAGAGTTTCACCAGGCTAAGCAAAGATCTTGACCACTATGCTATTTCAGGTTCTATGCCTAAAGTGAATTATGGAACCTTTTTATCTTGTTATTTATTTAATTGTTGTATGCTGCCCAGAGTTGCTTTGTGTGAGATGGGCAGCTATATAACTGTGATAAATAAATAAATAAATAAGTACATGATAAATATTGGCTCAGATATAAGGGTGGTTTTTCCTCTGTGAAGTAGATAATGAATGGTTGAGGTTAGCCTGCAACAAACTGAAACATCCGTTTGGGACTTTATCTCAAACAGAGAGGAACATCCGAGTAACATAACAGGGAAAGGTATATCTCAGAAGTGGAACAGAGAAATATGGCTTGAGGTTGCTTTGAAGCTGAGTGTGAAAGTAATAGAAGAAAGTACTAGAAGACAATGTCCATTTATGACCTCCAGAAAGAGTTGTCTGCTCATTCTGGTGACAGAACAGTTGCATCCTGTGAATAATCCCTATTCCTGATAGAATAAAGTGTCTCTCCTAAGATCACTGAAAGATAGAAATTGATACAAACAAAAACAGCACAATTGTCTTAATATTATATATTGCCCTCATCAGCCCTAGTAAATGGCTCCTCAAAGGCTCCTGTGTAAATTATTAACCTTAATTATAAGCCTGTGTGTCTATCCAAAGAGCTCCAATGTATTTAATGAATAAAATACAAGCAGAATGATACCAGATAGTTTTTATGCAAAGCTCAGAGGGCACAGAATAATAGAGTTGGAAGGGACCTCAGAGGAAGCTATCTATTCCATTGCTTTATACTTCTTGCCATCAGGAAATTCCTTCCAATATCTAACTTGAATCTCCTTCTCTATAGTTTCAACCTATTGGCTCGGGACCTGTCCTCCTGAGCATCAGAGAGCAGGTCTACTAACAACCATTTAGATATTTGAAGACTGCTATCATATCTTCCAGTCTTCTGTTCTGCAGGCTAGACATACCCAGTTTGTTTAGCCATCCATCATGTAGTAGCCCTCTTCTGAACTCTCTCTGCTTTGTAAATTTATCAAAGTCCTTTTTAGGTGGGACTGAGGTGGCAGAAGCGGACACAGTGTTCCAAATAGGGCCCAACCGAGGCTGAGCAGAACGGGACAATTACTTCTTGAGATCTGGACTTTATGCTGCTCTTAATATATTCCAGAATAGCATTTGCATCACTCTTTGTTCTCTTCCCCCACCTACTCAGGAGAGCCACCACCTTGACCAGTGCCATTCGACCTTGAAAACTCTTCCTCCAGATTTCAGTTGAGTGGGCTAGTTTTGGTTACTCGGTAATGCAGAAAAGAGCCGTTCTAGACCCTTCTTCATCAGCAATTTCAAGTACCATTTTGACCTCTGAAAAAAATATCTCATGACCCAGGCTCAAAGGAATAAAGGATACATATCGATGATGTTCAAACAGATCATTGTTTATTCTCAGAAACTTAGCAAGGTGGGGCTGAACCCCAAACACAGCTGGACAGCCTTTTAGCATGCTTCCTCTCCTGCAAGTGGCTTAGTTTATGTCCTCAAGTCATCCTAAGTGATTTGAGCATACCACATGCTTATGGTTTTAATTCAACCATTTTTACCCGATTCATCAGCCAAAAAAGGTTCTCAGATCCGAAGGAAGACAATGCTTACTACATAAGAGACACAGCACAAAAAGAAAAGGAGAGTGGGAGGGAGGAGGGGATAAAACAGCAGGCATGGGTTCACAAAGTTCACCCAATAAATACAGATCAGGGGGGAAAACATTCATCTGAGCCCCCTCCCCCATCTTTTCCCATTTCATTTTCTGAAAGTCTAATTTTTCTCCATTTGTTCCCATTGAAATAAAATCAGATAAATAGGAATATCTGGAGAAACCCCAAACGTAACTCTTTGTTTCATCATTTAACAAATGTGTTATATTGCCTTGAATGAAAATGCTTGATCCATCTGATCATTTCAAATATTCAATCATAGTTTGGGTCTGATTAGGGACAGATTTTTCTCTGTGGACCCTCTTACCATAAGCCCATTCAGGAGGCTGGAAACCTCACACAATTCGTTCAATTAAGTTGAACTTAATATTGTCAGAAAAGAACTTTCAGCTAAACAAAAGTTAAGGGAGAGGTCATTTGATCATCAGAATAAGGTGAATTCACCTGTTAATTTAGAGGACAGTTTTTTAAGAGGAAGAACCATAAATCAGTAGGGTGAGACAGAAAATAATCAGCTTAGTATGGTAATCTTTTGATGTGATAGTTTTTGATTTTGATTTTTTGATGTTTTGATGTAATAGTTAAAAGGCACCAGGGTAAAAACTAGGAGATCATGAGTTCTAGTCCCGCCTTAGGTACAAAGCCAGCCGAGTGACCTTGGGCCAGTCCCTCTCTCTCAGCCCCAGGAAGAAGGAGGCAAGGGTAACCACTCCCAAAATCTTACCAAGAAAACTAATGACCAGGAGTCCAGATGACTCAAAGCCCCCCCCAACAAAAGGTGATCTTTCCAGCAGTGATTGCCTTTTCCCACCCTAACATTTGTGAACAATGATACATGATGATAAATCATTACTCTACTGCAGAGTTTCTCAATGTTGCCAACTTTAAGATGAGTGGACTTCAATTCCCAGAATTCCCCAGCAAGCATTCTGGAGGGTTTGAGGTGCCAAGAAATGGCTGCCTTCATCTATCAGCCATCTTCAAGAGAGTGATACACTTTTACAACCAATACATTCCAAAAAGTACAAAGACCATGAGACCCTAACACAAAACAGATAGTTTGTTATCATCGAACCAGCTGAGTCTGTCTTTCTGCCCTTGCAGCTTATAGTCTGAAGTGCCACTACTGTGTTCGGGAGGATCCCAGGAAAGGCTGCAGTAAGAAAGAGAATATATGCTTTCCAAAAAATAACAACAAATGCATTGCAATCCAAGTTTTTTTCCGTAAGTTGAAATCTTGTAGAAGAGCTGTGTTCCAATATCGCAAAGAATTATAATAATCAAGGATCCTGAGTACAATTACGAAGGGTACCTTAAGGAAGAATAAGAACCAATACATCTGTTGTAGAACATATTTGAAAAATTTTTGCTTTATTTGGCACCCATTGTTGTTTTCCAATTTAGACTTTCTATTATTTATCTCTATGCATCTTTCTTTGGTGATTGCCCTCCCCTTTTTTTTACCTTCCTTAAGTATCCTTTTGTTTTCAGATCTTTACTAAAATTCTTGCACAGCCGTGCAGACTTCTGCTGTTTTCCATTCAGTCCTCCCCGGAATCATTTACAGTTGTATTTTAGCATCTCCTTACGTAGGAACCTCCATCCATCTTGAGTTTATTTTACTTTAGCTTCTCCTTCCATGGAATACCATTTATCATTGCTCTGAGTTTATTAAAATCTACTTTCTGAAAGTCCAAGATATGCGTTCAGTCATACCCTACTTTAATTTCTCTTATAGTTAAGAACTACACCACAATATGGTCATTTTCCCCAATGATCATGCTGTTTCCACTTCTTTAATTAAGTCTTACCTATTTGTTAGTAGCCAACTTAAATCTAGCTTAGAAAGGCTCTATTGAGAGAAACATGCCACTTTTCTTAAAAGAAAGTATTATTGATTTTGGTGAGATTTTGGTGATATCTAATAAGTGAGATTTTGATGATATCTAATCAGACTTTCAGTGAAAAAATGGGACTAAAATTAAATATAAAGAAGACCAAACTAATGACAGGTACAACAACCAACCTTTGAACTGATAATGAAGGTATCAAAGTGGTAGATAGCTTCTGCCTTTTAGGATCAACCATCAACAGTAAAGGAAGAAACATCAAGAAATATGCCACAGACTAGCATTTGGTGGAGCAACCATAAAGGGCTTGGAAAAGATATTTAAATACTGTGAAGTGTCTCTGTCTACAGAGATCAGAATAGTGCAAGCCACCCTGTGACACTCTATGGAAGTGAAAGTTAGACTTTGAAGAGGCAGGATAGGAACTGATGCCTTTGAACTTTGGTGTTGGAGAAGACTCCTGAAAGTACATGGACAGCCAAGAAAACAGACAAATGGATCATCATAACAATCAACCCAGAGTTCTCACTCAAGGCACAAATGACCAGGCTCAAATTATTGTACTTTGGACACATTATGTGAAGACCCAGCTCTCTGGAAAAGGCTCTAATACTGGGAAAGGTGAAAAGAAAGAAAAGAAGAGGAAGACCAGCAGCAAGGTACATGGACTCAGCAATGGTGATGGGGCACCATTGGAAGACTTGAAAGACCAGGTTGGAGACATGTTGTCTTGGAGAAAACCTATTTATGTGGCTGCTAGGAGTCAAAAATGACTTGATGGCACCTGAACTCTTTCATCTTGGGGATCCACCACTTCTTTGTGCATTTCTGATTGCTTTCTTTAGGTTGATTGATCTTTATCTTCTGAGGCTCTGTAATTACCTTCTTTTAATATCTTTGTAACAGCCATTATGGTATAATGGTTAAGGTGCTGGTTTAGGAGCAGGAAAATCCAGATTCTAGTCCTCCCTTAGGTCCAGAAGCCAGCTGGGTGACCTTGAGCAAGTCACTCCTTCTCAGCCCAAATCAGAATCAGGCTCTGCAACAACCTGGGTGAAAAATAAATTTAAAAACACATTTTTTTGCAGCCCCTCCATCTACTGGCAGCTTTGCTATAAGAACTGGGAAACAAGGGGGGCAACTGATAAGAACAACAGTTCTGTAATCTTTATGAAATAGATCTGGACAATTTTCTGGTTACTTTTCTCAATTTTAGCTAAATACATTTGTGAGGAATTTGAAAAGCAACAAGATGAGAAACCTGTAGGGTATCATGAATGCTGGCAGGAGACAAAACAATTCTTCTTCATTTTAAAAAATATCAACTTTGCCAGGTTTATCAGCAGGTGGACCTTTAAAGATTTCACTTTCTGCAGATGAAGGATGTTTTTTTTCTCACAATCAGCTTTTGAAGCCTTTGGAAGTCCTCCAAAGTTTAAGACATAATTGAAGGAGAAATATATCAAATTTCTCCCTACCAATTAAACAAACTGGTAGTCCAAGATAAGACATTTTCTCTAAAGCTAACAGGGAGAATAGGAGACCTGCAACCAATAAGTCTCCATCTTAACCAGGAGATGGGTCCAAGACCTGCATCATGCTGGCTCTTCCTATCAAAATATTATTTGATCAAAACACTGAATGCTTTTGCTGAATTATGTCTTGTAGCAGTGCTACAACATCCCTTTAACTGCTTGATTACTTATTAGAAAGTGTGTGTGTGTGTCACAGAGGACGTGCCTGTGCCCATGTCCTGCTGATAGGTTTCCTGTTGGGTTTGGTAGACCATTGTGGGAATAGAATGCCGGGCAAAACAGACCTATGAACCAGCAAGGCTAATCTTCCACTGAAGCTTGAAACTGTCATACCATCAAAGATTTAATACAAACGCCTCCTCTTTTTCAAATTATGGAATTATCAGCCCCCTAGACATGAGCTGTTTTCAGATACCTTGTTTACCTTTTTTTGTTGCTGTTGAACAGGCTTCCCTCTGCTTTGCTACCTGGTCAATTCAGCATGATTCTATTAAATGAAATATTTTGTTCTTCTGGAATAAAGGAAACTGAAGCAGTTGACCATAATTCCTGATATTACATGTTGGAGAATCCAGAGAGAGGTTCCATCTCCCTTTATTAAGAACTTCAGCTGGAAGAGACACCAATATTTTGGCATTTTTTCTGCTTCTTAATTCAAATTAAAAGTGCCTGTAAGGTGGATACTTTTTTAAAAAAAATAATTCAATCATATTAGGGAGAACTATCTTTGGGGTTCTCTGTTATTTTAACTGCATTCTTACTTTTGTATGGATTTCTTGTACAGTATTAGCTTCGATGGTCTTGGTTGTATTAAAATCTA